CCATCGGTGTACAATCGATAATAATCGATGCTATTCATTCGAAACTCACAACCGTAATGCGGCGCGAAAATCGACTACGTGATTCGTCATTTTCCGATACAAACTAAATAGTACGACAGTAACCACGGCGTGAGTCGTCACGATATTACTCCCATTCTTAACTAGCTACGCCTAGAGCAGGGTGATAAAACATTTGCATTACACGATAAAGATCGCGTCGTCACCGTTTCAGAACAATCGGGCCGCCAAGGAGGAGTACCACAGTTTTTATCAGCACCCCCGTTTTGAATTGTCACCTCGGTAAACAGGGCAAGCGAATGAGTTGCCCGTGTTCAAGGTCTAATTAAGGTATCCATTCCATCAAATTGTCTGGAGAAATTTTGGACTGATAATGGAGTCAGCGGAATAGTCAAGGTCATGAATGTGATCAAAATGTAGCCACAAGGATGATAGAGATTAGGTAATCACAGCGAGGTCAGATGTTTTACGAAGACACTATCAGATAAAACCTCTTCGGGGTTTAATGTACGAAGTCATTCAGTGCACATCCAGCTTTTTTTGACGTAGGACTACGTCTGTGATTTCCATATGGGGTACACTTTGTGAAAACCAAAAATGGAACATGTAACAAAATTTTGAAAGATTTTGAACGTTAATAACTCAGCCTTCCCTAGACCATTTTCAATAATTTTATCACCGATCACCGATCAGAAATATTTCTACGCATCGATCTTCGCATCTAGAAACTATTGGAAAAGTTATACATGTCAAGCATTGTCCAATAGCGTCGAAATAACTTGCAAATCCACCAATTACGTACATACATATGCTGCTTCCCCAACACAGTCATCAGAGAATCGTTTCTAGATGAAACATGTCGATGTCATCCCCAACACTGTCATCAGAGAGTCTTTAGTAGACGAAACAAGTCGAAGTGACATTCGCCTCCGATCTTCGGGTGTGTGCGAATAGGGAGGATGCAATTGCGTAAAATTTTGCACACTCATCGCCATATTCAGAACCACACGCCCCCGAACGACCACACAAAATGCTCTCCGTTTCAAACCGTTAAATGTGAATGAACTGTAGGTAGGTGGACTTTGTTCTCGTAAAATAACCACAGGAATCGTTTTCATATGTCCACCGAGGTGAACGTTGTGGGAAATCACTGGCATACATAAGAAATATCTTCCCTGTTGAATAAAAACCGACTGACATCCGATTCCCAATTCCAGCGCCGAAGAAAACGCTGCCACCGACTACCCCAGAATTTTCATCCAGAGCATCAACAAAGTCGACACTGCTGAAGTCGAAGAGGAGGAGGACGATGAAGCCACAGCTCCCAATATTTCCGGTGAGTACGATCCTCATCCGTTGAAGTCCGCCCATCATCGATCTACCCGACGAAATCGAAGTGAAAACCGGTGAGGAAGACGAAGAGCAAATGTTCTGCGTTCACTCCAAGCTACTGCAGATGGTTCAGAAAGAGTGGAAGCAGGGCGATTTGAAGATTCTCAAGAGTAAATCCGATCCAACCAAGTACAGGATTGCTGAAGAGAAACCGAAGAACGAAACATGCTCCGAAGATAGTGAATAATAGTTTTTAAACACAACTTTTTTCCTTCTGGATGAAATATTTTCTTTAAAGAAGTTATGTGCAACTTCAACGGAGACTTCCTTCGACGGCCGCAGCAGAATCACGGTGGTGTATTGCAGAAAACGGCAGGTTGTTGAGCGATGGGAACGAATAATATGCCGAATCTGGAGTATTTGGTCAGGCGGATCGAGTTCTCCCACCACATCAAGCCGGTTGTTTGTTGTTGTTTTGCTTGACAGCAACTTTCGGCTTCGCTTCTTCATATGTTGCTGTGATGTGAAAAGTGAGAATGCAAATGACGGTGATCTTGCTCACTGAGCAATGTGAATTACTCGAGGTGCCTCAAAAGGAACTCTAAAATTGCTCATGATTAGGAGCTGTCTTACCCCTTGAAGTGGTCCGAGGTGCGATAAAAAGTAAAGTGACAGACAGTCAAACCATAGAGGTGGTCAAACCGTGATTCACACACAAAATTAAATGAGAGAACGGACTCATTCAAGATGATTGATGAATAGATCATTGCATGATGACGTCACCAAAAATATTTTGACAGTTCAGGGAGCTTGTTTCCATGGACATAGTCGTTTTTCGGAAGTTTCGATTCAAGTGCTCTTAAAAGTTGACTGTGATCTGAAAATGACCAGGACGTGAGTTTGAAAAAAGTGCAAATCTAAAAGAGATCGGAAAGGATGTCGTTTCTTTAAGTTTCCATCAGAATCCACAAATCGTTTCCACTTTGAATGCCAAGCGTAGAAAACTGTGGTTTTAGGCATTGAAGCTGGAGGAGAATTTTCAGTAGAGATTCAAATATGTTTGCTCTCGACATTTTTGTTCCGGTAAAGCTTGTCGTAATTTGTTGAAAGTAAATGCCGATGGGACGGATTTTTTGTGCATACCGCATTTTGCTTTCTGGTGGCAGAAGACGAGTTTTTGACAGTTGTTGTTATTCACATCGTCGTGATTGTGCGCTGCTAAATTTGTCGATTTTTTATCACACGGGTGTAGTATATGTGATGAAGTAGTGATCAATTAATAATAAATTCACCTTTATTTATTTTTAAGTCGGCAAAGTGCATTTGGCAGCACTGGAAGTCGACATTCATAAAATAGAAAAAAGAACAGATAAGCTCACCTTGGATAAAACATGAACTTCGGAAAGCTCCGAATCAGTGCTGCAAAATCTCGACAGTACACGGTGATATTGACAATTCTGCTTTGGTCACTCATTGGAGCTAACAGTCATAGTCAAGGCAAACCATGTCAATTGTCAATGACAATGCTGTCAGTGACGAACATGTGCAGATTTATTTATTAGCCAAATTTGTAACGAAATTAAATGACTTGATCAAAACAATTACATGGATCCATTTTAGTGAACAAGTATCTTCGTCCTGAGCTACTTGGATAACAATAATGTGACACAGAATGTACTAAATTACACTTTTTGTTACCAGGTGAATCTTTGTCATTGACGAAAAAATGAATGAGATTTTCACGAAGGTTTTTTTGAGGATCAAGTCTGTCAGTGACTAAAGGGTGATACGGTCAAAATTTGGTCAAGGGAAAACGCGTGTAAATCGGTGAAATCGTTTATTTAAAAAATCAAATTAAATTTCTTTTTCAAGTTCAATTAGTATAAAATTCAGGAAAAATATTCAGTTAGGCTTCCGCTTTTCCAAATCCGAATTGCCGGGCCTTACGCTTGACCCCTGCCATCAGATTTTGTACAGCCACCTTGTCCACCTTCTTCGCCGCAGAAAGCCAGTTTGCCTTGAACTGCTGCTCGCCCTTAGCAGTTTTTTTGGTCTTCTTTAGGTTCCGCTTGACAATAGCCCAGTATTTCTCAATTGGGCGGAGCTCTGGCGTGTTGGGAGGGTTCTTGTCCTTGGGAACCACCTGCACGTTGTTGGCGGCGTACCACTCCATGGCCTTTTTACCGTAATGGCAAGATGCCAAATCCGGCCAAAACAGTACGGAACAACCGTGTTTCTTCAGGAAAGGCAGCAGACGTTTATTCAAACACTCTTTCACGTAAATTTCTTGGTTGACAGTCCCGGAAGCTATGAAAATGCTGCTTTTCAAGCCACAGGTACAGATGGCTTGCCAAACCAGATATTTCTTTGCGAACTTTGACAGTTTCATGTGCTTGAAAACATCTGCTACCTTTCCCCTTCCTTTTGCCGTATAAAACTCCTGTCCCGGAAGCTGCTTGTAGTCGGCTTTGACGTAGGTTTCGTCGTCCATTACCACGCAGTCAAACTTCGTCAGCATCGTCGTGTACAGCCTCCGGGATTGCGCTTTGGCCGTCGTATTTTGTTTATCATCGCGATTTGGAGTCACTACCTTCTTGTAAGTCGATAGTCCGGCTCTGCGGCATCTCGGAGAGAGAGGTTAGGGTTTCGCTTGAAACTACCGGCAACTCTCTTTGTCGTCTCAGCGGCTTCCGGTTTTCGATTTCCCCCCGATCCAGACTTCCTGGCTGTCGACAAACGTTCCCCAAACACTTTAATTACATTTGTAACGGTTGATTTGGCAACTTTGAGCGATTTTGCCAACTTTGCGTGCGAGTAGCTCGGATTTTTGCGATGCGCGAGCAAAATTTTGATACGCTGCTCTTCTTGCTTGGACGGCATTTTGACAACTGAAGAGTTAATTCCAAAATCAAAATAGGAGCAACATTCTACACACACACACCTTCAAAATGAGGGGTGTTCAGGTTTTTTAAATGCAAAATTGAAAGAAATACGTCAAGTTGATATTGACCAAATTTTGACCGTATCACCCTTTATGTGACGAACAATTTAGTCAATATCGCGCGAAAGTCTGTCAGTGACAATGACAAATCTCAGCACTGCTCCGAATATATGAATGCGATTCGTGTTATGAAAATCGAAGTTTGGCTACGAAACGATCACAAAACAGGACTCGAAGTGAGGGAGATAGGACTTATGCTTAACATGACGCTATGGGATAGAAGAGTGCGGAATGAGATGTACTATCAGATTCATGACGCTCATTGATGGCTCGTTTGTGATTCTGTTGACAAATTTTAAAGCAGACGGACGCTACGAACAACGCGGGACAATTTGGCAGGATTCATCATAGTGACACAAAAGGTCGATGCTTGAAACCTCGACCTGGTCACGACAACGGGCTATCGTTATTCGTTTTTTTCCGCTCGGTATACCTGTAATATTGTACTGGTTGTTAGTGGAAAGTGCAGTTCGTTGCGATAATCGTCTAATTAGAGCATATTTTGTGTTGTGAAAATAGTGAAAAAGTTATCCAATCAGACATATTGTAGTGTATACTGTCTAGCATTGGGCGATCTTGAGAATCCAATTCCTCTTTGCGTATTAGAGCATCTCCACCGCTGTTTCTAAATCACTTTTGGAAACTGAGTCAGCATGACTTCCGCCTGTGACCAATGCGCTAAACCAGTTAAAGGCGATGAAGAATCCATCTCCTGCATGGCTTTTTTGCGACAGGATGATTCACCTAAAGTGCGGGTGCAGTTTCGAACGCCTTTGGATACGGTTGTGTTTTAAGTTTGTTCTCTGTTTTGTGCGTGCGTTCGCTCTCATAATTTTCGGCTGCAATTGCCGGATTATCGCTGGCGCTCTGCCTCCCGGACGTTTATACGTGTGTGATTAGTAGTTTTCTCGCTTTCCGGGAAGTTTTAGAATAGAGAAAGAAAACGTGATTCAACATGTTTGCAAGCATCAGAAGAGATGTCGCGATCTGCGTTGTTTGATTTTCTCCCGAACCAGAAATTAGTGGCATCGCGAGTGATAATTTTTAATTTCAGTTTATTTACGCGCTGCATGGTGCGTGAAAGAGCTCGGCACAATCGGTGTTGATGTTGGCTCGCTTGTAACTTTTTTGTTGTGTTTTCGAAAGAAATTGATCGAAATTGTACCAAAAGTGCTTCTGAACGTGTTTTGCAGTTGGGTGTGGTGAAATTCGTGAATTCGCGGTTTATGTTCAGTGAAAATTCCGTGTCACAAAATTGCTCACCGAGTTTCTTTTTTTGCCGTTCGACGACGACGGGTTTTCGAGAGAAGAATAAGCATCGGGAATTTGCTCCCGGATGTATTGATTTGGTGAGTACGTTCCAGTTGAAGATTGTTCTTATACATATCTCGATTGCATTTTCGAGGGGACGTCCGGAGAGCTTTGAGATTTAGGCGTTGTTGCTTTTGCGGGTAAGGGCCAGTAAGTGCTGCCAGCAGATGAATCAAGAGGTATTCGAAACAAAATTGATAAGAAATGTCCATTCAAATCGATTTAATACAGTTGAACAAATTTCAAAACTATATACGTGCCAGATTTGGAATTGGAAATAATATTTTTTGAATCTGGAAGTGTGTTTATGATACCATTATCCATTTGATAAAGGTAGAGTGAACATGCGGGGCTTATTGTAAGTAAACGTGACCTTGGAGTGGTCGTGAATTACCAGGCATTCTGAAATGGGTCACTAGAGCTGCAATAGAGCTAACACCTTCTAACTCCCGGACTAAACCTGCTTTAATTTAAGGGTAATAAAAAGCAGTTTTCTTCCATAATAACACTGCCGGACAGTGGGGGTTAGATTGTACACACACACACACACACCGTATTTTGCTTTCTGGTGGCAAGAAATTAACATAGACGGAGAGTTGACCGATTACTTTCGGATACAAGTTAACAAGTTTCACTGAAGAATCAGAATCACTACGGTCACAATCTGCGAGGCGATAATGCAAATCGATTTTAAATTCTAACACCTTGAACTGTCAAAAAAGTGAGGTTACATTTTCGCGTGCAATGATCTATAGCGGATGAAATCGGATGAAATCGGCAAGCGCATGTTATTATTCTTTACGAATCGGAAAAATCCACAGAAATCCAATTTATGAAGCAAATTTTATTGAAATTCGTTAAATTAACTGTCGAATGGATTACTTTCGTCCCCCTCGAGATTGTGTCTAGATAGTAGGTAAGTTCTGAAGTTGCCTCCGAGGTACAGTACTACCGAGGTACATAGAATTTCGAAAGTTGTGACTGTAGATCAAATTTCAAGCAAAATAATTAACAATTTCAGGCAAAAATCGTTGCAGTCCTCAATTGCAACCATTAATTTCCTTTATATTTAGATAAGATTTAGTTTTAGTTTTTAGCTTTAAAATTTCAATTGTTATTATGAAATGCAGGTTTAGAAAACCTGTTTAAAACACGGAATTTCCAAAGCAGAAACAATGTTAACACACTAAGATATATATCATAAAAAATAAGGCGGGTAAGCTACTGTAGTAACTGGAGTACCTATATTTAAATGAAATGTAATTTAATTTGAATTTGAAAACAAATAAAGAATTTAAAACAAAAATACCGAAAGGTTCGGACAAGGAGAACAAAAATCCCATATAAACTTCAAGGGGTACACTATGAGTTCACAACCAAATGAGCTCAAATGTTGAGAGAATTATCAAGAGTTAATTTGGATAATCGATATTTTGAATCACCCTAATAAGTATGTTTTCTTAATGTTGTTGATTAATTGCGATTGACAGCGATTAACAATTAATTGGTTGGTAACCTTTAGCTACACTGATAGGCAAAATAAAGTGCCCACCCCATCATTTTTGAAATTTCTCTCATTTATTTGGTTCAAATTCAAATAAACACACCGTAGTCTGTTTCGATGTCTTACCTTTATTATTCTTTTAAAGTTACACCTATGGAATACTGAAAATATAAAGTTTTACTTGAAGTAAAAGAAAATCAATTTGGATTGAAAAAGAAAACAGTGACAAAAAAAAGTGCCCACTTCAAAAATCGGTATGTTTTCGATAAGTTTCCATCGGAAAACCCCTCGATTGTTTTTGTTTTGAAAGTTTGACATGTATTGAAGCAAACGGGTGGAACTGGTGCATTTGTACACGTGATCGCATTTGAATCAGTTGAAAAAAATGGAGGACGTAGTGATTTCGAAAGCAATTCCCGTGTGTATCCGAAAATTGGTTGTTCGTGATGTGCAAAACGGTGAATCGCACCGGTCTGTCGCTAGGAAGTACAATATCAGCAAAACAGCGGTCGGGAAAATTCTGCAGAAAATGAAATCGTTCGGATCAGTGGTGGATCGCCCTGGCAGAGGCAGGATGCGCAAAACGGATGCGAGAACGGACACCAAGATCATGCGTGAAGTGAAGAAGAACCCGAAGGTAACTGTCCGCGAGATCCAGGAGGCTCTTCAGCTAACAGTTTCCAGTCGAACTGTTCGTCGCCGTCTCGTAGCACAGGGGTTGAACAGCAAAGTTGCTCGGAAGCGCCCATTTATCAGCAAGGCAAACAAAGTCAAACGGCTTAAGTTTGCTAAGGAGCATGCTGATAAGCCCCTAGAGTTCTGGAAAACGGTTCTCTGGACGGACGAATCAAAATTCGAACTGTTCAACCGGAAGCGACGGGTTCGTGTGTGGTGTAGATCGGGTGAGGAGCTTCAGGAGCGCCACATACAAGGCACGGTGAAGCATGGAGGAGGAAATGTGATGGTCTGGGGGTGCTTTTCGTGGGGTGGAGTGGGAAGCCTGGTGAAAATCGACGGGATAATGACGGCAGATTCCTACATCGACATCCTGCGGGAAAATCTGGAAGTTTCGCTGATCCAGACGGGCCTTGAGGAGAAATTCGTATTCCAGCAGGACAACGATCCGAAGCATACTGCCAAGAAGACTAAGTCTTTCTTCCGGTCATGTCGAATTAAACCACTGGAATGGCCTCCACAAAGCCCGGACCTCAACCCCATCGAGAATTTGTGGGCGATTCTCGATGCCAGGGTTGACAAAACTGGTGTTACCAATAAAAATAACTATTTTGAAGCCCTGGAGCGCGCCTGGGAAGAACTAGATCCACAGCACCTGAAGAATCTAGTGGAGAGCATGCCGAAGCGCCTGCAGCTGGTCCTGAAGGCCAAAGGAGGACACATTAACTATTAGGCTGGTATTCTTTTACTTTATTTTATGTTTTCTGGAGTTAAAATGCAGTGGGCACTTTTTTTTGTCACTGTTCTTTTTTACACCCATTTTGATTTTTTTTTCTTCGAGTCAGTCTCTTCTTTTTATCTGGTATTCTATAAGTGAAACTTAAAAAGAATATAAAGAATAAGATATAAAAAATACTACAGTGTATTTACTTTAATTTGAACCAAATAAATGAGAGAAATTCAAAAAATGATGGGGTGGGCACTTTATTTTGCCTATCAGTGTATCAGACTTATCATTTTCCTTCATCGACATCCAGTTCAATAGACCTTTTTGACGTTTAATCGTCTTTCTCTATCTAGCACACATGGATGAATGGACGGTTTGTTTTCCCACTAATCTGTTTCCCTCTTGCTCGCACTCGTTCGATTTAAATGGTGCAGTAGTGTGCGCCGATTAAACGTCAAAAAGCTCTATATCGCATAACTCTCAAGGTGCGTCCCTTTGCGGTAAACTACCAAACACAGAAGCGAACAAATTCACCAGAACAGCGATAAAAAAATCAACATTTTCAGGCAGGTCAATTTTCCGTTCGTCATCAGCCAAATATATCCTAAAGCCATCATCCTCCGTCCAACTCGCGATAACACCAAAACACCGCAATCGAAACCGTATGAAAATTATTGATTCACCAGATTCAAACTGCTCGCTATCAGCATGTGAGTGTAGTTTTGCCGTAATTTCGAATTCATACCTCAAGATAAGATAACATCAAGAATTCATCGAAAAAAACAAACTCGTTTGCCGCACCGAACCTCAACAAACCCCACAGCTCAATTACGTCACACTAAACTAAGTAGGAGAATGTTACCTTTCCCCAGCACCAGAACGATCGCTTCCGGTAGGTATGCTCGTTCAGCTCATTCAGCCCCGGCTCATCTTCACCAGCCGGCTCCGTCATCGTTCCGATCCGTTATCGACGACGCACTTGGTAATAATTTAAACTTCACTATCGGTCATGGGATACTTGCTTGACCAGCTGTCCCATTGACCACCGTCGTCGTTAGTGGTATTTACCACGGTAACTCGCACCCACAATTTCTCGCACTCTCTGCTAATCACTTGCTCAAATACACTTTCCGTCGCACTTTTTTTTCTGCAATGTTTTCTTGCCTTCCTAAATGGGCTATTTAAAATTAAACTCGACGAGTTGCTTCATCACTGCACCGGGCATCTATTGACTTCACATTTCGAGCCCTATTAAACACGAGGAGAAGGCTCGAATGTGCGCATAAACAGACGAATTAGCACCTCGTTGCCTACTTGGACGGGTGATAGCGCGTCAACGATGACGACGAGGACGCTCATCGATACCGCACACTCCTCAATTCGACCAACTCCCGAAGCAGTAGGCTACTGAATGGGGTCGCTTTTCAGCGCTCACTGCGATCAACGAGGAGCATTTCCGTCCGTCGCACGCGGTTAAGCTCGATGTTTTCCTGGAATCAAGTCAGGTAGACTGCTACGACGAAGGCGAAGCTGAAGGGAGGAGGTACGGGATGTCGAAGTTGCAACATCGTCAACATATGCGATGGCACAGCACGGGAAGGGAGCTGCGTTGATAAGATAACAGCTAGTCCGATTACGGCTTTTTTTTTTCTCACTCAACTGAGGTATCTTTTCATGCACCACTATATAGGAACACTGATTGGCATTGGCTTCTGGTGTTTGTACTGCGTAAGTCACTTTTGCGGATTGGGAAAGCGTTGCCGGGGGTTTTTTGTTTGGAATGAAAATCAGATCGAACCATGCGATAACTCTATTCCTCTTTTGATGTGATATCTATGAAATCGCGCTATAGGCTGCTGTCCCCAAATCACGAATAATGATGATAGTTTCGAGGGGTGAATGTTGATTTGATTCTTCTTTATCTGTAGTGCTCCACTTATCTCGATTGTCATTATTTTGAAGAATAGTTCAATTTATCGCCTGACGGTTTGCGACATGGTTTAAAATCGAATTTTATCGGTTTTTAGATCTTGTTTCTTGTGTCGTCATTCGATCGTTGGGATTATGTAGTGTTCACTATCTGGGTGGCATCCCAACTTAAAAGCAGTTATCCGTCAGAAAATTGTGTCACACAAGCTTTGACGTTTCATTGTTGATACTTGTAAATGGTCTAGTAAGCTGTCTAGTTTACTTGAAAACCGACAGTTTGACAAACATTAAAACAGTCCCAATTATAGTTGGAAGGGTATTCGATAGGTGATATGAGTTAATTGGCGGTGATGGTGATTCTGTGGCTCTTTACTAATGTCTCTTGTAAAGAGGCGACATCTCCATCCAGTTGATAGGTCTTCTGCCCGATGGGAATTACATTCCCAAGCCATTGACAGATAACCGATTGTTCCAATTTTGACATGTCATCTCTTTCTGGATTCAGCCTCTTTACTCTTTACCTACTCTGCCCATAAAAGCATAACAGTCCCATATGGATTTTTTTCAGAAATGAGTTGGCCATTAGAATCGATTGTAAACTACAGGCATTTTACATTGCACGCTAAAATTTACATGTTTTGTTCATAAAAAATCGTGTAAACTACTAAAACTAGGTTGTCCCATCATTAAAAGCATGTGGAAAATAAATTTCCATCAGAATTTCTCTCGGCTTGCTGTTTTTCCCTCCGGGCAACAATCAAGAATTTCGTCGTAACTAACTGACTAAAAGTCTATCGGCCCCTCGCGCGCCGCTAGCACGCCTCTAGTGTTGGGAATCGAAAATCTTTGACAGAGGTTTGTTTAAACTTCTATAGAGAACAACTACTGGTGCAAGTTTGATCAAAGTAGTCGATCGCGTTCAGCAATAACGTTAAATGTAACTCGACAGAAGAAAGAATATTGTGCACAAACACCTGGAAAATCCGGAGTGGTCCGGTTCCAAGCTGTCTAAAGTGCTGAAGATGTCGAAAACAAAAGCTTGTCGAGTGCTCAAAACCTATAAGGAAACCCTGAGTGTAGAATGGAATCAGCGAACCTACGAAAAAACTGGAACCAGGGATCGTCAGCTGCGCAGCAAGATGTTGACGTGCGTTAAAGCCAACCTCGGTCTTTCGATCCGACATGTGGACTGAAGGTACAACGCCAACTTTCAAACGGTGCGGAACATCCTTGCCAGGAACAGATACAAGTCGTACTAAGTCAGTATACATCCAAACCGGCCCATGAAGCAGAATTCCGTGCCCAAAAAGCGTGTTGTAAGACCGTGTTTTGACGAAACACAAGGGCTGCACTTTGATCGATGACGAAACTACGTCAAACTCGATTTCATGCAGCTTCCCGGTCAAAAGTTCTACATCGCGACTGGACGTGGGGATTGTCGTGACCTGGTCGATGTTTCAAGCATCGACCATTTGTCACTATGACTGTCCACTCTAAAATTAGTCAACAGAATCACGAAACGAGCCATGAACGAGCATCATAAATGCAATGCGATGAATATCATTCCGCACTCTTCCATCCCATAGCGTCATTTTAATCATACGTCCTATCTCCCTCACTTCGCGTCCTGTGCTTTGGTCGTTTCGTAGACGTACTTCGATTATAATGACACGAACCGCATTCGTGTGTATTCGGAGCTTTCCGAAATCATGTTCGATCACTCTTGCGTGTATCGGTCAGTTTGCTATTTCATGCATGTCGACTTCTAGTGCTGCCAAATGCATTTTGCTGACATCAAACTAATTAGCGGTAAATTTATGTTTAATTCATTACTACCTTATCATATATACATACTACATACTACGTCAAAAAAGCTAATGAAGATCATGTGTCAAATGAAATGTATAAGCAGCCACACATACCTCTTATGCATTCTTATAGGACCTATGTGGTTTGTCTTATGGAATGCATAAGGTTGATGTTTTGACAAAAATGTATAAGTGAGACACGTGAATAAAATAATTGATTTTCGTTTCGTGTGGCTCGGGATATCGCCTCCTCGATGGAATGCAGACACCGGTCAACGTCTTCGGCCGTCTCCGGGAGGACACCGTAGTCGACAGTGGAGTCGATACAGTGTTGGAACTGATCCCAGCTGACACGATGATACAGTCATACCTCGATATAAAGCAACCTCGATATAACGTAACTCGATATAACGTAACTCGATATAACGTAACTTTTTTTTTTAAGTCTAAAAATTGAAAAATATCAACCCACAATCAATTATTAACGTTACAAATCCATTTTAAATTATTTTATACATAGTATTATTAAATTTTTCATGTAACGCTGGGTTGAATAAACATTTTTATTTTGCTTTATTATAGAGACTTTCAGCCTGTAACTGGTTTGTCTCTTTGAAGGATTGGGGCTCCTGGAGAGAGAAAATAAATAAATTACATAGTGTTTGTTACAGAGTTTAAGTATCTCAGAGTTCTGTGTCGATTGTTTTAACAGTAAGGAAGGTGAACGAAGTTGTGGTTAATTTCCGAGAGAGAGTGTCAATGTCCGTAGCCTGCGGGGTTGTTATCGTTGTTCTTCCGTTTGACATGTCATTTAGAAAGCTGGTGTTGTCCAAGTGCCGTCGTTCGTCCGTTGTCGTGTCATTGTTCGTTGCGGGGTTCTACGTATATTGATAGTAGCCTGTGTCTTTAAGGAAGTTGAGAAGTGATCTTTCCCTGTCTGGGTCATTGGATAATGCGTCTCTGATGCTGAGACCGATACCGCATTGGTCTAGGAGGTTTTTAAGTGCAGGGCAATTTATTATGAGATGCTCAACTGGCATTTTGGTTGAGCACCCCATACATTGTTTGTGGAATCCATCACGGGATCCGAGATCGTGTGAGAATCTGGTGTAGCCGCAGTGTAATCTGGACAGTACTCTCTGGTCCTTCCAGTTTTTGGTGTCGGACCAGCATTTCGTATCTCCTTTTATTTTACGTAAGAAAGGGTCTCGGGTATTAGCCCATTCCTTGTCCCATGCCGAATCGTTTTTATTCATATTTTTAAATCCGCTGCAGGGACTTCCGGTTCCACTGGGGTTTTCGATCTGCCGATCGCTGCCAGCTTGTCCGCAGCCTCGTGTCCACTGATATTGCAGTGGCTGGGAAGCCAGACATATACGGTGTTACTTTTCGAAGCCATTTTGATTGCTTGCACCAACGGGTGTCGGTTCTTCGGACTCTCAAGGGCCTTCAGCACACTGGCCGAATCGGTAATGATGGCCTTTCAGGAAAAACTGGACTCCGTAACGGCTGAGAAGATGGCAGCTGCCTCAGCCGAGAAGATCGATGTAGGCTTATGAAGGCCTCTGCTGGTATCTAGGTTGGGGCTGAATAAGCCATAGCCGAATTCTTGAATAAACATCATTTCTATCCTAGAGAGAGAAGCCAGCTAAATGACGGATGGTTTGTTTTCTTTGTTTTCTTTTTTTTCTCCCCTACCCAATCGTGTTGTTGGTTTGCGAAGGCAAGCCTGGGCCCGCACGAAAAAAGTTGTTTTCAAAAGGATGATAGCCCCATTTCTAATGTTCGGCCTAGTTTGCAGTAACAGTTCATGACTGGATCTCGATGACGTTTGCGTGATCGATAGCAAAGCTGTCTCCTCTCTCTCAGATTTTTATTATTTCAGGCATGGGAGGCATGTCACGAAAAGTTTATAAATGGAGAAATAAACCAATACATACTGGGAAATATTTCATTCGACGGAGAAAACATCCAGCAATTTTGTCTGTGATCTCTATTGTGAAAACCCAAAATGGAACATGTAACAAAATTATGAAAGATTTTGAACAGTTATAACTCTGTCCATATCGGATGGATTTTAATTCTAAACAAGCCAATCGATTGGAAAGGCATCTACAAATCTGTTAAAATGAACACTTTATCAATTGTCAATAGGTCACTATTGAAAATTGCACGAATGTGCAACTGTTGCTATCATAATTTAAATTATCACCTATTGCCTGCGAAAAGCGCTTTTCCTAACACAGATTTAAAAATTGATTTCACTCCAGTCTTGCCAAACGGTGTTTATTCAATCACTGCGTGTGGTGAGTGGTGGTGTTCGGTCGTCATCAGCAGCAGCAGCAGTGCTTTCGGTGCTTGGCGTTCTCCAGTACATAATGAAAGCCTGCCGGCATGCTCTCGATTCAGCCTTCGATTCTACGAAGAAAGAGGACGAAGCCGCGACGCTACTGATCGGATTCAGTTGCGCGTCGTGCGCCACAGTGGGCCATATATTCAAAGTGCATCGCCCTCGTTCCAAACAACATACAGCTCGCCAGCTTTATCTGTATTGAACACCCTAATAGTAGCTCAGCATTACTCAACCATTACGACAAAACGTTCCATTTCAGGACCACCATAAATTTGTTTAATAGTTTTTTTTTTCTGGACATTTCTCAAGGTCATTAATTGGATATCAGTTCCCATAAGTTTC